ATATATATATATATATATATATATATATATATATATATATATATAAAAGCCTGATATGTAATTAAAAGCAAAAAAAACAAATTTATATAATCTAAAACAATCTTCCAAGCCATTTGCTTTCTATATGCAATAAAAAAAAGGAAAAAAAAAGGGAAAAAGTTTGTATAAGGTTGCAACCTTATACTATGGAGGAAAGGTGCATCTAAAAAATCCTACAGTGGAGAATGTTCCCACATAGGAGAACCCTCCAACTGATCGACCTTGTGATAAATGGACATGAAGGAAAAAAAGAAGTCTAGGTTCAAAAAATAGAACATCTTGTAAAAAGTTATCTAGCCCGTATGTTTTCAAGATTTTCAAGTGTTTATTGTTCTACTCGATCTGTATCACTTTTAAAATTTTAAATTTTCTAACTGAATATAAAAAGATATTTTGAAGCCATCATAAGATTTTTCACGCCAAAACGACATCTTTAAGTAAATTTTATAGGTGCACCTGTTGAGTTTATGTAGCCTTTAAATGCCTTATGAGAGCTTGTATGAGCATTTATATATAATGAAACATAAACTCAGTGGAAGTGTAGTCCTCTTGTAGACCATACTGGCAAATGTGTTTTGCCAATACTCGGACTAGGCTTGACGTGCTAGGGCAGCTTAGTTTGGAAAAACTCAAGGTACCTGAGCATAGGGATCTACCGAGAAGGGTTTAGTGGGTTAGCTCTTGAAAAGGTCGGAATATGCCCAGATGAGAGCCAAGAGACTGTGTGGCCTTTGCGTGTGATGAATAGCCTTTAGAGACAATGTTAAAACCTCATCGTTATATCATCACATGACATGTACATAGATAGTTGTTTTAATATTTGCTAATGAGGGTGAAGTGTGTACATGTGCAAGAGATTACCCTTTTGCCTCATAGAGTCATGGTTGCATCATGGTCTGGAGGACCATGATTTTTTGTCTATAGGGGAGAACCTGAAATCCATAAATTGGGGTTGCGTCCCCTAGTCTATTGACTGACTTTGGCGGTTCAATCATAAGCCCCTGCAGTAGACTGTAGGTCATGGGAACTACTGGGTCAGTTTGAGAAAGCTAGGTGAATCGTGGTCCATAATTGAAGGTGGAGTGCTCCCGTATATTGATAAATTCCTAGATCTAACGGATCCGATTTCTATAAAAAATTAATTAGTTTTGATATATGATTTTTTAGAATGTTTATTTGAGTTTTTGTGAATCTTCTGATATTTTATTTTTGTCATTTGAATTTATAAATTAAGAGAAGTTAATTTTTCAATATTTTAAATAACATATAAGATTTAAAAATTCTAAATATGAAATAAAATATTTTCTAAAAATATATGGGACCTCCATAAAATATTGGGCGCAAAATTTAAAAACATGTGGATTAGGTGGGGCCACACGTGGCCACCAAAAGGGTGGCACCCCACCCATTCACATATCCTTCTTGGGAAGAATGTTTATCCCATATTTGTTGGCTTATCTTTTGGAGATATGCTAAACTAGAAAATAAGATATATACTTTCTTTATTGAAAGATTTGATGAGAATAGATCTAGGAAATGGAGGATAAGCTCTAGCTTATTTCTTTGAATCTTGATGATGGATCAAACAGATGGATGACTCAAATCTCTCACCCATAAGTCTCCTTAGATCAACAGTCAAGATTTAACCCTACAAATTGAAGCAAACCCCAAGACATAAAAAATCTATAAAAAGATGTCTCTCCCTTCATAAAATGACATACATATTCTCTCATCTCTCCCTACCCAAATTTAGTTCTATCTCTGGATTACCAAAAGGGAGGCACACCCTAATTTTGAGGCACGCCCCAAGTTTATCTTCTATCTCTCTCTAGTTTTTTTCTAAGTGGGTACGCCCAAATCATCTTTCTCTCGTTGTTTCTAGATGACACGCCCAAGCTAAAGTTAGCTTTTGGTGGTTTGATTTTTGGGTAACAAAGAGGAGGATCCCCTTGCTAGTAGATCTCTCCCTATCTCTTTGATCTATCTCCCAAAAGATCAAGCTAATGGGGCTTAAACAAGACTAAGGCATTGAGGCTTTAGATAGTTGGTTATAGATCGAGATTCAAATGCCATTGAGAGACTTTTGCCATCATCTTTCATTGTTTCTAGATGGCACGCCCAAGCTACGGTTAGCTTGTAGTGGTTTGATTTTTTAGTAGCAAATGGGAGAATCCCCGTGCTAGTAGATCTCTCCCTCTCTCTTTGATCTATCTCTCATCTCTCAAAAGATCAAGCTAATGGGACTTAAACAAGACTAAAACATTGAAGCCTTAGATAGTTGATTCTAAATTGAGATCTATGTCATTGAGAAGGTTTTGCCATATGTAAAAGAATCAAGTGACCGATCATAGATCCTAAGCACCATCGGAAGAAAGAGACTCGGTGTGGGGTGTACTAAACCCTGTTGAGGTAATCTCCGACACTCTCTTTTTGTTTCTTACCCTATTTAATTATATTGTGTTTTCTTTTGTTTTAAAAAAATTGGTTTAATGGCATCACAATTTTTAAAATCCTAGATTTGTGAGTTTTATTTTTTTTGAAGCAAGAGTTATTATAATAAGACTATTTGTAAGTGATCTTTCCCCCTTCCCCCCCAAAAAAAAAAAAAAGAAAAAAAGAAAAAAAAGAAAAAAAAAAAATATTCACCTATAAAATCACATTAGTCCTGACCTCTACAGTATAAGGAGGATGGTTATGCAAGAGATAAAACACAAAGGAAATTTCTCTTTTAATCCTTGAAAATTTTGAGAATGACACATCGGCACAATCCACGATATGAAATGCTCTTACTCTTGAGATGAAAGTTGTACCAGGCACGATATGAAATGCTCTTACTCCTGAGATGAAAGATGTACTAGGCATAGCTAGCAAGAGATAAAATGTTCAAAACTCCTATACTCATCTCAAAAAAATAATTTGAAAAGCATTTGAGAAACGAAAACTTCAAAAGCAATTGTCAAGGACAATGTGACCATCAATAACTCATTGTTTAGTAAGGAATCTAGCTTACTAAGGAATCGACTTCATTTCAATCAACATATTGAATATATTCAGCCCTTTCCTCATCTATTAATAATGGGCATTTCCATATACCTAAACGTTCATATAAAAATTATATGACAGGAAGAGTTTATATGTTTTTCCCAAAAAAAAAACCCAAAATCATCAAAAGCATTAAGAGTAATACATTGAACTATAAAAATAATTACAATGACAACCATATACAGTTACTACAATAGAGACAGAGAGAGAGACCACTCGGAGGATTTAGTGGGTCTTGTTTGCTTCTCGCTGTTTCGCAATATATTCGAAGAGACTCCCATCATAGGTCGCCCTCATGGCTTCTTTTGGGAGAAAGCCATGCTCGTCCCTTGCAAGCACATACAGTAACCCCCACTCCAATTTATTCGCGATCCTATCATTCATCCATTTACACACATCTTTAGCATAATCATCGTCACTTATACCCAGGGAAAAATTTATAAGGAGAAAATTTACTTTTAATACAAAGAGGTCATTCACAATCCTATCATTCATCCATTTACACACACATCTTTAGTATAATCTATGGACACATCTTTAGTATAATCATACTCAATCCTCAGTTATATTGTTGGAAAATATATAAAGAGAACAAGAGAATATTTACTTTTAGTATAAGAAAAATTACTGTCATATTTAAATCGGGTAAATATATTATTGACTATAATCCACAATAAAATAAAATAAAAATTGAAAAAATTACAGAAAACCTCAAAGCCATGCAACTTACCTCCGACCATATTTTTTCTCTCACTTTTTTTCTACCTTACTTTTTCTCTCACTTTTTTTCCCAAAACAAGCTTTCCATGCAAATCGCCCTAAAGGGAAAAAGTTCATTTTTTTAAAAATGAAAATGCCCTTCCAGTGCACAAAAATCATTTTGACCAAATTGGACGTTGACGTTTGGACCCTCTAGCACATTGCCGGAGCATACTATCACACTGCCGGAGCACACTGCCGGACTGCCCCTTTACACAAAGTGTCGGAGCCCTAAAATCCAGTAGCATTTACTCTCGAACCGCCTCTTGCAACTGTGAGACCGTACTTTACATACTGCTAAAACTCCATTGCTGGACCGTACTTTATAGTGTCGAAGCCCTACTGCCGAACCGCATTTACACAATGTACAATGTTGAAGCCCCTATTTGTTAAAGCAAAAGTAATGGAGGGTAATTTGACTTTTTTTATTTTTTATTTGGTTTGGGTATTTGCTATTTTGGAAAAAAAAGTGAGAAAAAATTCCCTTGAGGTAAGTTTCATAGAAAGTGTAGTTTTGGTTTTTTTTGGGTACGATTTGTATAGATCCTAGGCTCTAAACAATCAAATTAGAGCCTACCATCAAATAGTATCGAGTAATGTGGTTTTAATATCGAAAATCTTTATGATGGCCTTAAAATATATTTTCATATTTAATTATAAAGTTTAAAGCTTCAAAATTAGTGTAAATCAACATATCTATGAAAACTTGAAAATCTTGAAAATTGACGATCCAAAAATTTGTTACAAAATACACTATTTCCAAAACTTGTAATCCATTTTTTTCTTTATGTCCATGCATCTTGATGTCGATGATCAATTTGAAGATATTTGAACATCAAAATAACCTCTTCTAGTGAAATTTTTTAAGTAGGCTCAAATTTGATTGTTTAGAGCCTCGACTCTATATAAACTTTTCCCGGTTTTTTTTTTTGTAATTTTCCCAAAAACTTCCGCAAACTTCGGGATCAACCCCTCGCCATCCCAAGCTGGAATGCGACCTTTTTGTACTGATGGTAAATGCTCTATATAAACCCTGTATTATAATCTATATCGTGTTATGTATTTCAACATTTGATGTCCTCACATTCAATTTCATTATGTTTTCTGAATAATAAACTTCTATTTTTCTTGTCAAACTAAAATTAAGACACACATATAAAAAGCCCAAAATTGCTTAGTCCTCACCATCCGAAGGGATCAAGGGCATTCCGGTTCCCCTCCGTCATATGCCATAGCTCCGAAAATGTGAAAGCATCTTCCCGTATACGAGAGTACTTGCTAAACAAGTTCTCAAAATTGGCAGGAAGAAACCTAAAAACTCACCAGTTAAAATTACTCAATCGACCTTAATAATTAACCATCACAAAAAAAAGTAAAAAAAAAAACGAACGGAGTTGAGAGAAAATGTGCACTTGCCTCCCTTCAGAATCATAAACCTCTGTGTCACTACCATGTTTGGCTTTGTGGATATTGAGAATGTATATTGGAAGCCATGGAGAAGGTATCCACCCCTGAACACATTAAAATCAAAAGTTTCGTTTCTTATCATCTCCTCATGACCACATTAAAATCAAAAGTTTATTCTCTTAACATCTCCTCGTGTCCAAAATTCAAAGAGAATCATTATCAGATATGACAGGAATTCTCACTAATACAAAATGCTCTACTTGTGTGCGGAAATTACAAAAGAAATATCAAGACTGAAAGAAAGACCTACGTGATCTTTTATCAGGGAAT